GCGTGGCGTAGCGTAGCGCCTTGAGGGACGTCATTTCGCCTCAGCCATCTTGTGATTTTGTTTGTGGGGGGGCCCATGAAAAATGAAAGAGGCGAGAGCGGGGGGCGGGCGGGACGACGCGCCCCTACAAGCGTGGTCCTCTCCGGCGTCGCTCGCCAGGTCCTCCAAGCAGGCCCGGCATGATGTATGAGGTCTGGACAGGGCCACTTATTGTCGGGGCGGTAATGAATGGCTTGCGGAAGATGTTGGCGCCGTGCCCGCGTGCGGCTCACCAAGAGCCTGAGCACGGCTCGCTATAGGGCACGGCTCACCCGGGCACGGCTCACCCGGGCACGGCTCACCCGGGCACGGCTCACCAAGAGCCTGAGCACGGCTAGCTATAGGGCACGGCTCACCAGGGCACGGCTCACCCGGGCAAGGCTCACCAGGGCACGGCTCACCAGGGCACGGCTCACCAGGGCACGGCTCATCAGGGCATGGATCACCAGGGCACGGCTCACCATTGCATGGCTCACCGCAGCACGGTTCTTCATTCGGAGTATGGCGGCTCCCCGCTTCCAGAGAGATCACCAGCACTGCGAGGTTTGCCGCTGCGCTGCGGGCCAAGGCCGTGCGGCGCTTTGGCGGGGGAAGTGCCAGAGGCAGCCAGAGGCCGGCGGCGAGGTGATCCTCCGCGAGCCCCGACAAATCATGGCGCTCCGCAGAATGTAATTTGAGATAGAGGAGTGCGGCGGCCGCGCCCCGCCCTGGCGCGGTGATTTACGGGGACGACACGTCACATTTAGCGGCTGACGTTTTACGCCTCAACGATTTCTTTTGTGGGTTTTTTTCTGCCTTGCGCATTAACTTATTTTTATTTTATTTTTATTTTTCCGTTGTCAGACTGCGCGTCGTGTCGCTGTATCGTGCAGATAACGATGATAGTGTGCCGCCCACAACAGATCGAGCTTTTGTCGCGCCGGTTTTATTGTACTTTTCTTCTCCCCGAGTGCCTTGTCAGCCGATGCCAGTGGCATTCGATGGCAATCTCCCTTCGGAGGGCGGAGAGCTGGGCCCGGCGCGGGCCCGGCGGGGGCGGCGACGGCGACTGTCTGCCGGCAATACGCTTTCGAACCCTCCCGCCGCGCCGCGGGAGGATTCCATAGCACGCATGTTATTTGAAAGTCGGAAAGCTGAAATGTAAGGTATGTTGCTTATCCGGCCTGAGCTCCCCACCCCTCTCCCTCCGGAGGGGCTCTTCCTCTCCCGCGCTCCCTCGCTTCCGTCGCTGCCTCTTTGTTGTTCGGTGATCCGCCCGCGTTGAAAGGCGACGCGGCACAAATATTTTCCCATGTAACGGCACGGTCCTCGACAGGTACCGTGTCGCGGAGTGCTGCTGCTGGTCGGATTACCCCCCCCCC